AATACTGTTCAAAAGTTTGAGGTCGGTAAGTCTCTTATGGAAGTCTCTTCTACTGCTAGTCTCATCTGACAGTTGTCATGTACGTTTTCTGCAAGGTGACAACCAAACAGAACAGCTGAAAACCCTAAAAATAAAGCCAATCTGTTGCTCAGATTGCATGTGCACTGAACATTCAGTGAACTGCACAAGAAGCATTTGTCAGCCATCCAACTGCCTGGTCTAAAAGCCACCCTAAGTGCGGTTTCATGTTGTTAGACACCCCATTTGTGCATTCTGTGCAACTGAAAGGAGATGTGAGACCCGCGGAGGAGCTTCATGCCCTCTGACCAGCTCCACTTGAGAGCCACTCCCACAATGGGCAGTGACTCCATAGGTCAGGGGTCCTGTTTTGGCCCGTTTTCCAAGGTTACTGCCTAGCGGAGAAGAACGCTACTCAGTTCCCCTTTGTCCCTAAATCAGGGCATCAAAAGCAGAGCAGAGCTGGAGTCTAGAATAAGGACTCCCACCCAAACACTTCACAACAGTCTCCCGCAAATACATGTACACACTGTGCAGAGTGTGAGATGGGGGTCCGAGCGCTCTGTGACCACCAAGGCAGATGACAGGAACAGGCAGGCTGCACTCCAACTATGCAAATGGCCTTTTTATGGTTTGTTGCCACCTATTAAGTGCTGAGAAAACTTCTTAGTGAGCTTACTTTAATGGAACTGACCTGCCAGGAATGCAATGCAATTGTTTTTCAAACAAGAGCGCACTAATCTTTATGCACATACAATCACTGAGAAGATGACAACATACTACCATGACTATAAAGAGAAAATAACTGAAAAAACCCATATATATATATATATATATGTAAGTGTTCTTACATGCATGTATGTGAAATTATTTTGCAGCTCTTCAGTGTATCAAACTGAAAGACACCTGTAAAGACACCATCTGTTTCAGATGACATGCAGTGAAAATAAAGTTAAATAAATTAAAGTTCAGAGATGTGCATCGTTAAGCTTTGCTTACAGACAGATCAGACTTAATTCTATATGTGGCGGTCTAAATAGAGACACTGCAGCAAGTGCAAACAGACTCTGAAGTCACAGCAGACTCACCATTATTGCTCAATCACAACACAGATGAGACTGATGTCTGGATCGCTAGAGATTTTTTTTAGATTGTTTTAGAAGAAAACAATAGAGCGATATTCCTCGACGCCGATGGCGATCTGTAGAGACGCGGTGGAGATGATCTGATGACGGAGTCCTGCACCACGTAATGTTGCTCTTCGGTTTCCCTCTCTGAGATTTGAACTAATCTGCACTGGAGCGGCTTCAGTGATTTATCACAGCGACTCTACAGCGACACCTGGCGATTACATAGAGGAACTGCTGGATGTTTCTTTCTTTCTTTCTTTCTTGTAAATGTTGTGAAAAATATATTAAATTACTGAAATATTTATTACTACATGATAGATAGATAGATAGATAGATAGATAGAGTTTGGACAAGTCTGGAATCAGTAAGATTGCGCTCACCCAGGCTGCATTTATTTAATCAAAAATACAGTGAAAACAATAATACTGTGAAACTTGTTACAATTTAAAAAAAAAAAAAATTTTAATATATGAGGATATTACATATTAGGTATATATGAATATGTAATTTATTCCTGTAATAGTGAAGCTGCATTTTTAGCAGCCATTACGCCAATCTTCAGGTTTTATGGAAACAGTGATATATGTTTTTTCAGGATTTTTTGATAAAGTTCAAAATGTATGTGAAAGAGAAATTTTGTGTAAAAATTTATTTACACTTTTGTTTTAATCAATTTAGTGCATCCTTGCTGGAGAAAAGAATGAATTTCTTAAAAAAAAAAAAAAAAAAAATTTAATGTTACTGTCTGAAAACAGACTTTCCTCATCACTGCAATTTTGTCTCATGTGCAGAGGTGCTTTAAAGAAGAAATAATCATAAACATTTCCAAAGTTTAATAGCACACACACTTAAAAATATGTGTCTTTAAATGTCTAAACACGTTTAGAGATTTGGGAAAGCCAGAGAAAGACAACTCATAATTTGTCTTCCAAATCTTAGTCACCACCAAATCTGAACTTGATGTTAAGCTCAAAAGAACAAGCACGTGCTAAAATCACAGCTGCACATGGTACGTTTCTGAAATTTGAGTTGCTGGAGAAAAGAATGAATTTTTAAAAAAAAAAAAAAAAAAATCTTACTGCCCCCAAACCTATGAAAGGTATAAAATGTAGTAATATTTAGTATAATATGTATAGTAGACCTATATGGTGAACTCTCCTTTATTTCTGCTGTTTAAGTAATTTGGAGCAAAAATGAGACCTGAAGCTATACTGTGCAAGAGCTGCATCAGCTTTATACATTTTTTTATACAGATAACGTGTTTCCAATGGGAACTAACAGAATAGAATGAACAAAGAGGTGTATCCTACACTGTAAAAATGACCGTGAATTTAATGGTAAAAGACTGTAAAAATGCTACAGTAAAAACCTGTTAAATGGTTAATGGTAATTCCCTTACTATATACGGTGAAAAATATGAATGTTTATTGCATTATTTCAGTTTCATGTGTGTTACCACAATGGTGTTTAGTGTTTGTGTGAATGACACTGTGCACCTTCTATATATGTTATTATTTAAAAGCTGCTTGTGATGGGCTTTGGTTCATCATGTGACTTTCTCATCACCACCTGCATTTGGTGGTTATCAGTGTATTACACAGGTACAAAACAGATTTCAGTACTTCAATAGATTGGTATATTAACATTATATCAGTTAATGAAATTACGGTATTTAATTGTAAATTTAAGTTAAAACCGTAAAACCTAAAACGTTGATACCGTATTTTTTACGGTAAAATTCCGGCAACCACAGCTTTTTTTTACCGTAAATTGGACGGAATTTTTTTTACAGTGTATGACACATCCGGTTGTTATAATTATTCACAGAACTCTTACGAAATCAGATGCATCTAGACACAGACTCATATCTGGCCCCCAGACCTCCTTCTACTGAGTAGCTAAGACTGACAGCACCCTGTCATTACCGCTCCACTCCACTAATGGCGCTTTTCCACTGCGTGGTACGACTCGGCTCGGAACGGCTCAGTACGGCTCGGCACGGTTTGCGTTTCCACTGCAGTTCAGTACCGCTTTAGAGTGGGCGGGATTATTCACAGTGTTGGGGAGTAACTAGTTACATGTAACGGAATTACGTAATTTAATTACAAAATAAAAGTAATTGTAATCAGTTACAGTTACTGAGGAACTTGAGTCTGAACATATTACTGCCTTGGATATTTTAACTTCACTAATCCACCTTATTGCCATAATTATTGCAAACATTTCTCCAGTAAACACTGATAAACAAGGCTGTGCGGATTTAAATCTAGCGGTTCTTTTGTGTTTGTGTCGCAAGTTCAGTGACGCAGGTAGTGACGATTCTCTCCGGCCAATCCGTGATCAGCAGAGTTTACACGTCACGTTTTGGTAACGGTACGGTTCACTTGGAACCCCAACTGATGTGGTACTAAAAAAAGTACCAGGTACCAGGTACTGTACCCAGTGGAAAACCCCCAAAAAGTGAACCGTACCGAGCAGTACCGTGCCGTACCATGCAGTGGAAAAGCGCCATAATACTGTGATGACTGTAGCCTCTGGGCACACACCTGAGTGCACTGCATACTTCCTGCCCTTTGAGGATAGAGGAGATGCATTCTGAATGTTTTCGTTTCAGGAACAGTAAATGAGTGAAAAGAAATTAGCTTCTGGAGAATCTGGTGCATTAAGACCTTTTAACCCTTAGAGCCCCACTGTATGTGTTCAAAGGAGTAGTTCACCCAAAAAAAAAAAATTTGCTGAAATGTTCTCACCCTCAGGCCATCTAAGATGTAGATGAGTTTGTTTCTTCATCACAAGAGATTTTGACAAAATAGCATTACATCATTTGTTCACCAATGGATCCACTGCAGTGCATGGGTGCCATCAGAATGAGAGTAAAAATAGTTGTTTATATAATAAACAAGTAATTCACATGACTCCAGTCTATCAATTAACGTCTTCTGAAGTGACAAGCTGCATGTTTGTAAGAAACAAATCCATTTAATCATATGCATAAAACCAATGTTTTAACCAATTTCTAATACATTATGAATGTCAATACTTGAGGGTTAATGCAGTGTAATGACTGAGGTTTTTGTCATATGAACACATTACTTTTGTTTTTTCCACATCTTTCCTGTGTTTTCAATAGCACAAATATGTCGCCCCCTGCTGGTAATGTTAAAGCTGTGGTATTTCTGGGATTCAGTGGGTGTCACAAACACTTTGGCTTTATTGATCATAACAGCAGTAGTTTAAATTGCTATAAAGAACACAGAAAACAGAAGCTGGCATGAAAATACTGTTTTATTGCATATTATGAAAAAATAGCATGCAGGTACAGGATTTAAAACTGCACAATATTAGAAATGTATTAATAGCCTATAGTAAAATGCTGTTACAGAGACTAAGACAGATACATAACCATCTTTCAATTTTTTTGTTTGTTCAAATGACATTTATATTCTCACATATACTGTTTACAATCCCCTTTCTTGTTGTAGGGGTCAGTAAAACAATGGGAATGCACATACTATATATAATAATAATATTATATAATATAATATATATACATTTCTGTGTTCTTTATATATATAATTTTTTATATTGTATGATGTAAATATGTTGACCCTCAAAGCCTACTGTATTATATTTGATAGACAAACTTCTAAATTCTCCAAAATTAGGACTTGGTACACATTTTTTAAATAAAATAAATGTAACACTAACTTTTATATCGTTAGTAATATTCTAAGATGAACACAGTCTGAAGCAACTAAGGTTTATTGGTTATTCATATATCATTTTTTGTATGTTTCATGTTAAAATGTGAGTATCAAATATGATACTTTCAATTTTTTTGTTTGTTCAAATGACATTTATATTCTCACATATACTGTTTACAATCCCCTTTCTTGTTGTAGGGGTCAGTAAAACAATGGGAATGCACATACTATCTAATCTAAGCACTATTTACACTTTGCTCTGTTCCACCTGACGTGTGTCTTCTCAAAAGAGGAAAAAAATAGTGTTCTGTGAGGATCGTTCTGGTTATTGTACAGCCATTTAGTATAGCATGTTATAGCTAAGAATATCTGACTGGCATGATCCAGGTTTTCAGGTTTCTATAGGATTTCTCTGAAGGACTTCATGGCTTCTTAGGCTTGATGGTGGTTCGTGCTGACTGCACTTTGACAGTGGTTGATGCAGACCTTGAACCCTCTAGGTTTTGAGCTGTGCAGGTGTATGTTCCTTGGTCAACCTCTCTGACCTCATCCACCAGCAGTGTTATCTGAGTTCGCTGTCGGTTCTGTCCGTCCACTTGCACTGTCTGCACACTGTCCTGGGTGTACAGCGGGCGCCCAATCTGATAATGAAAAATAAAAATAATCTTAAAAAACTCATTTTTAAATGATATATAATTTGTAATTTATTTTAATATAATTAACATTTAATTTAATATATATATAGTATAATATATATATACATTATATATATATATAGGTATGTATATATATATATGTATATATATATAGACAAACTTCTAAATTCTCTAAATTAGGACTTGGTACACATTTTTTAAATAAAATAAATGTAACACTAACTTTTATATCGTTAGTAATATTCTAAGATGAACACAGTCTGAAGCAACTTAGGTTTATTGGTTATTCATATATCATTTTTTGTATGTTTCATGTTAAAATGTGAGTATCAAATATGATACATCAAGCTTTTGAGGAGTGTTATTTGTCCATCATCTCTCGATCATCACTGTATTGCATTACAGTATATGCGTTGCTTTCAACAATAAAAACTACTTTGATCATAAAACTAAGCATTTAAATATCATCTTGCATATTAAGATCTCTTTGATTTACATATTACAAGTTATCAGAATTTCATCTTACTTTTTGGACATATAAATATTAGAAACTGCACCAGGTTGCATATTATTGCTCAGTTTGGCCCTCTGAATAAAATCAAGGTTTTTCTCTTCTTTCTTTTAGATTTAGTCTAAAACTGCTCTATTTCAACAAAATTTTAATATGTCACTGTTATTTCATATGTCAGGATTTATAGGGTTAATGCTTTAATGCTAGTTCCATTTAAAAACCTTTTTAAATACAAACAACATTTTAAATGTGCTTAAATATTGTGAGGTTGTATGTCTTATTTCGTGTACCCTCTGGTCTAACCTTTTGTCCAGGATATTCCCAGGTAAAGTCCACCACCACGTCCTGCTCTCCTATCACAGTGCATGTCACCTGAAGATTCTGTCCCACTACCACAGTGTCAGAGGAGGTCTGGATCGCAGGGAACGGAGGGGCGGCTGGATCTACCAGGGTAGACATTCTAAAATCATTTCTGAAATTTGGTCACATTCTTGTGTGCTTTCAGTTTGCTGTCGTGTGCTAACTTCAGAGGAAATACTCACAGTTGACATAGATGAGCATGTATGTGGTTGAGCTCTGGCGAAGGTTCCCCAGGCTTGCCACACAGTACAGAGATCCAGCATGATACTGCTTCGGTCTGTGGATGGTGAAACCCTTCTTGACATCAAAGGAGATTTCTCGTCCATCCACCTTCACCTCCAATGGAGGAAATTCCCGGTGTAAAGTCACCTTTGCTTGTGGAGACGTCACCTGACAGGGCAGGACGGTGGGCCAGTTAGTGCGAAGCTGAATGACCTTGTAATAGTCAGCAGAAGGTACAAACAACTCCTGAGGGTCTAAGAGAGAAATGGCAATGGGCAATTAAATTGTGATAGTATAAGTATGTAAAGAATAAAGTACAGTCAGACAGTCATTACTGCGAAATAATTAGTGAATTGCAGAGATATTGCATTTCCAAACATAATTTCTCTGAATTCAGCGCTGCAACATTAGGACATTGCAGTTTTTTACATTCAGATACAGAGTCTCGACATAGATATGTAGGGCTAATGTTATTCTTTACCACTTCATTTTAGATGTATAATTTTCTTGTTACCTAAAGAATACTTGTATAATTTGCACACTGTTCATCACATTCAGTGTTGGGAAGGTTACTTCGGAAAAGTAATGGGTTACAGATAGGCCTGTCGCAATAATCAATATATCGACTTATCGCGCAATATATGTACATGACCTCAATAATTTTTGGTGATGCAATATATCGCTCATTATATTTACTTAAAAATGAATGTCACCATGTTTTGTACATTCCACTTGTGCCTTTGTGTTTTGCAGCTTCTCGTACATAACGTGTTATTATGCTGTTACATTATGATTATGTATTCAGTGGCATAAAATTGTCTTTAAAATGACAATAATATCGCTTATCGCAATTATTTCTGGGGCAATATATCGCACAACAAAAAGTTGTTATCGTGACAGGCCTAGTTACAGATTACAAGTTACCATATTTAAAATGTAAAATAGTAGTGTAACTTTTAATTACTTTATTAAAGTAATGTAACTGATTACATTTGATTACTTTTTGATTACTTTTCTAAATTTTTAACAAATGTTTTCGAATGTTAATCATTTTCAAACACTTAAAGCAGGCAGGGTTAACCTTCCTGTAGCACTCAACACTGATTACTGTCAGACTTTCAGAATCCTTCTTCATTTGAATTAAGATTAAAATAACTTAATTTTAAAGCACAGCCACCACAAAATCAGACTTTAGCAGCTGTTTAATTTGAGATCATTCTTTAATTATAGATTTAAAATCATAAGATATAGTTTAGCTATGATACTGTTTTTAAAATCAAAATCTTTGTATCGCTCTGACAGGAAACTGGCATCTAACAATGCTTTGGGGAAAAAAAACAGTTAATGTTAAAAAAATAAAACATATACATAAACCCAAATAAACCCACATTTTTGAACAAGCATGTGTCCTAAACTCCTGAAACATTGGTGTCTCATATTTTAAAGCAGTCAATGCAATTTGGGAAAGAAATCATTCAAATCTGTATGTGTGTGAAAATATTCAGATGTAACCCCCTTTGTAATCTTTAACATTTTCATAAGTAACTGTAATTTAATTACACATTTTTTTCCTCAGTAACTGTAACTAATTACAGTTACATTTATTTTGTAATTAAATTATGTAATTCCGTTACATGTAACTAGTTACTCCCCAACACTGATCACATTACATTCTCATATTACCTGAGAAAAAGATGAAGACTTTGACTCCTTTATCATACTGTTTTCTGCAGTCTTGATCCTCACAGTACATGGGATAGCAGGTGAACTCCCCTGTATCTGCCGCTGTTGCATTTGCCAAAATCAGTGTACCATAATGTTCATGCTGAACTGTCCTGAAAATACAGACAAAAAACAATTGATTATTTGAACTAAATGAATGCGATGACAGATTTAATGTCTCTATTAACTCATACCTGAGTCGTCCTTCATCATCCTCTTCTAGATATGCAGGAACAGCCCACTGGACAGGATTTCCTTTACACCTCAGCTCTAACGTATCACCTGCTTGGACAGTCAACGTGTCCCCCACTTTCTGAAACCTTCCCTTGTTTACCACCTGAGTGAGGTAGGTCTGAGCTTCTTTAGGGGTGGTTTTCACTTTAGGTTTGGAAGCAGGAGTCTTTCCTGATCCCTTCCCAGACTTGGACTTGCCATTTGGTCTCTTCTCAGCTTTGGTCTTCGGGTCAGGTTCAACCTTTTGGCACATGCCTGTTTTTCATGTGACAAACCATTCTAATCAGTAAGAATTACATGTATGCATTTGGCAGACACTTTTATTCAAAGTGACTTTGGACTGAATTCAAAGTAAATTTGATCAGTTCATGTAGTCCCTGAGAACTGAACCCATAAATCTGGGTTTCATGCAAAACAAAAGCATTTTCTATGCAACTTTTGATAAATGTTTTACATGCATTGTGTTAATACCTGCTTTGTACAGTTATATTGTTTTTCACTGTTTGTATTACTGAGAATCGTATCTACATAATGTACAATATACTCACCGAACTGAATGATCAAATGAGAAACAAGAAGCGCAAATAGCATCACCCTCCACTTCATGGCAGAGAATATTCACAGCAACCACAAACAAACTTTAGTTCACTCAGGTATACCTTCCCAGGTCTTAAGGATACATGCAGAGAAGGGAGAAATAGAAAGGTAGCGGGAGAGGAGGAACCGAGTGTGTAGAGTGAGAGGTCAGATGTTTACCAGAGTCGCATGAGCACCCTAAATTCCTTCGGTTACACTCAATGGGTCCATTCTGTGTTCATTCTACCAATCAGGGTCTGAGGAGAGCTGACCATCCAACTGAAATAGCAGCCAGTGTTTATTTAGCTGTAAAAACTCAGAGGCATCAGTCTTAGGTCTGCTCTGTGAAAACATTTGTCACAAGGCAATTTGTAATTACTGAAGAACACATGGTAAATGTAAATTGATCCACAAATATGTACATGACAGTGTTATGCATGATTACTATGTTCTACATGATGTTACATTTACTTGTTGTTTTTTCTGGTGCATAAAAACAATGGAGCTAAAAATGCTAAAGATACTAGTGGCCTATAAAGTGGCCTATAAACTCATTGCTGGGTATTTGCTGTGGAATGACCCAGTTTTCTGAATTTCTGTTTGATTTAATAGTTCAGATCTGATTAGTGCGACACAGGTAGGATCTTGTGAATGGTACTATTGTTATTTTGTGCCCTCACAGTTGAAAGTAAGATTAAAGTCCCTTAAGGGCACATCAGTTCGCTCAGCAACTCTGAGGAGCAACTATTTTCTAGTCATGCAAGTCCTGTATACTTAATCAAATCTTTTTTTCCAAGCTTACATTCTGTTACATAAATAAAAATTAAAAATTAACAATGTCATTGTCATAAATTCTGTTTATTTAGCTCAAATCTTAATGCTTAACTAATATTTCAAATCTTGATACTTAACTTTTTCCCCCATTTGGTCCAGCTAATGCACACTTACAGTATTTGGGACCTTTTTTTTTTTACTATTGAAGCATTTTCTCCCAACATAAAGTATCGTTCAAATGTTTGGATCAATATGCTGCTTTTTATACTTTTATTCAGAAAGAATGCATTAAATTGATCAAAAGTGACAGTATAGACATTTGTAATGTTAGGAGTAGTTTCAGTAAAGACTGGAGTAATGGTTGCTGAAAATTCAGTTTTGCCATCACTGGAATAAATTGCATTTTAAAATATATTAAAATAGAAAACAAATATTTTAATTGTAATATAATTTCACAAAATCGCGGTTTTTACTGTATTTTTTTAACAAATAAATGCAACCTTGATGAGCATAAGAGACTTCCTTCAAAAACATTTTAACAATTTTACCGACCCCAAACTTTTTAACAGTAGTGTGTAATTTAATAAACGATGTCATGGTCAACTTGAAGATTCAGAATTATTTATTTATTTATTATAAAAAGTATAAATTGACAGAGATGATTTCACTGCAAATATGATAAAAACTCTAGATTAAAAAAAAAAAAAAACTAGAAAGAGCTTCTTGCTGAACTGGCATCTACTTGAGAGATATGACTGGTGCAAAGGATTTTTCTGTAGGTCATCAATTTATTTGGATCCTTCTTTATCAGATTTGGTTTCAATGGTTTCAATGGTGACCTGACTGCTGAGTAACCTTTGCCTCTGGATGCTGTTCCTCACTCCATATCCAAAGTAGATAAGGAATCCTGAGCAGAAAAAAGACACACATTTACACTTTTTAAAAATTTTTATATAGGTTAATCTTTCAACAACATTTCATATTTTGCATTGCATACCCCCAGCCATCCACACAGCATAACGAATCCATGTGTCTCCTCCCAGTTGAACCATCAAGTAAATGTTGATGAACACACTCACCACAGGGAGTAAAGGCAAGAACGGTACCTGTGGTCACAGAAAATATGAGATATGAATAATTTTTATTTTTTATTAATATTTTTACTTTATAAAATAAGGTGCTATTGTATTGTATTGTTTTGCATTGTATTGCATTGTAAAAGTCCTGTGCTCACCATGAAGGAGGCTTTGGTTGGGTTTTGGGGTTGCCTCCAGATAATGAAGACCGTGAGTAACATTATGATCAGGATCACAGTTACACTCACAACACTCCAGATCTCCAGAAACAACAAAGATCTGATAGCTTTGCTCATCAGCAGTGACAGAATAAGCACCAACACAACTGCAAAATCAAAGATATGAAAGAAATTTGCTGATATTGCTATATAATGGTCCAAGTGGTCATATTTTTCGGTATTTCTGTGGAAGGTTTTCTGCATACCAAGAAAAACTGTGCATGTTGTAACAGTGTTTGAAGTTTCATTGGTAGGGTATGAAGGGGGTTTCAAAAACCCAAACGTCGAAGTTGTGGGTGTGTGCAAATCACTTTCCTCTGAAGCAGTCTCTTGATACCTTGAAAGAAACCAGTTTTAGCTTCAAAGATTTGCATCATGGTGTTAGAAGGGAAGTGTGGAGCTGGGAATACAACCTTAGTATGAGAATACAAATAGCCACAAGTGTGTAGGAGAAGAGCGTTCCAATCGACATCATATCAACCAATGCCTTCAGGTCAAATAAAAGAGCCATTATTGCTGGAATAAAGCAGAGCACATGATTTCCAGGGCTTTTGCATTTTGCACAAAAGCTGCAGATTATTCATCTTATAGAGAGAAAAAAAAGCCCTAGTCTTATGATTTGGCTTAGTCTGTCATATGTGAGAGATGAAAAAGAGACCCAAATTAATTGATCTAATATGTAGATAATTTTTAACAATCTTGTTTAATACACTTACCTGCTACAGTGCCAGAGGATAGTGTGGCCACCACTGGACTCTGCCGTAAGCTGACTTTATACAATGATTTGAACATGAGTCCATCTCTGGCCATGGCAAACAGGACACGGGGCATTGGGAACATGGACCCCAAGAGACTGAAGATGAAATTAACTGTCTGTAACTGAACCAACACATAACAGAGATTCAGATCTCAATCTGTGACTCCTTTACCTTGTTGACAGAGCGCACAGGGACCCGACTGCCACAACGTACTTTGCAGCAGCCCAGCCAATGTAAGCAAAGGCCACAGGCAAAGGACTCTGAACGCTGAGTCGGTAGTACGGCATCATCAAAGTGAGAGCAGCCGAAACGCCAAAGTACGCCAGGAAACAGATGAGCAGAGACACCACGATACCCACAGGTATAGACTTCTGAGGGTTCTTCACCTCCTCACCTGGCAAATCAGTTTAAAAGCATGACTAGAGATAATACACACTAAGTTTTAAAAGTTTGGGATGAGCTAAATTTTTTTTTTTTCATTTATATTTGTATTCAGCAAGGATGCATTGAATTGATTAAAAGTGACAGTAAATCATTTTATATTGTTAGAAAATATTATAATTTCAAATAAATGCTTTTGATCTTTCTATTAATCAAAGAATCCTGAAACAAAGCATGAAATATTAATATTAAACATGATTTCAACATTGATAATAATAAGGAATGTTTCTTGAGCACCAAATCAGCATATTAGAATGATTTCTGAAGAGTCATGTGACACTGAAGACTGAAGTAATGGCTGCTGAAAATGCAAAAACATTATTAATGTTTTCAGATTTACCTGTAGTTGCAATGCAGTCAAAGCCAACAAATGCATAGAAACATGTGGCTGCTCCTGTCAGTGTTCCTTCAAATCCAAATGGGAAAAATCCACCTATTCCGTACTCAGTGGTGACATTGACGGTGGATGTTAGGTTTCTTAAAAATTAAAATAAAATAAAATAAACGGGTTTTAGAAAAGAACTGAGGATATCTGAATTTGGAATAGCACATTAGCACACTACTCCTACTATTTAGTAGTAAAATAGTAAAATTATGCAATTTGGTATAGAATATATAGATTTTGCATTTTTATCTATTTTGTGTAAAAATGTTTTGGCAAACTTATCCAATCAAATAATGAGTCAAGAAATACATTAAAATTGCAACTGATTTTATTTTCCCAAATGCAGTAGATTGTGCATTCTACTGAAATGTGCATACTGTGTATGCACAGTGTATGTTCTATACACTGCATCAAGTAGTATGCTAGTATTCTATACTGAACATACAAAGATCATTTTAATGTTTCTAGACTGAAAGGACTACACTGATTATTACTACACTGAAAATTCCAATAAATTATAAACGCAAATGTTCTTACTCATGCATTGCTGTTGCATTCAGGATGATGTCTTCAGTGATAAACCAGTTCTGTAGGTTTCCCTTGATGAAGCCAGCGATGATGACAAATACCAACACCAGTATATTAACACTTGTAAATATCTTGTTGACCGTGGTTGATTCTTTCACGCCATATGCAAGAAGACCTGTGAGAAAAATACGGTACATAGAGTCTAAGCCTTTGCCATAGATGCTAAATATAGAATAATGAACTAGACAGTGTATGATTAGTATAGTCAGATACCAGAGAGAATCATTATGAGACCAGCTGCAAAGAAGTCTGGGTAGGCTGCCAGGCCAGGCAGGTCCATGGCTACGTATTTGCTAAAATAATTAGCCATCGCATTTCCAATAAGATCATCGAATGTGCCACTCCATGCCCTGGCCACACTTGATGTGCCTAAACCAAGAGAAAGCTCTGTTAGTACTTGACCTTTGAATCTATCTATCTATCTATCTATCGATCTATCTATCTATCTATATCTATATCTATATCTATCTATCTATCTATTCGCCATTAGGCTGAAATTGCATTTTCATAAGCCTATAATTTCTGCTTACCGATGACATAAGACAGTAGTAAATTCCATCCCGTGGTGAAGGCCCACACCTCTCCTACAGTCACGTAGCTGTACAGATAGGCAGAGCCGGTCTTAGGAACCCTTGCGCCAAATTCAGCGTAGCAGAGCCCAGCAAAGGTAGAAGCTAAAGCAGCAATGAAGAAGGAGATGATAATACTTGGTCCAGCCAGGGTCCGGGCCACCTCTCCAGAGAGCACGTAAACACCGGCCCCCAAGGTGCTGCCCACTCCCAAAGCCACTAGATCTAAAGTTGTAAGACAGCGACGAAAAGTGGAGACCTCTCCCTCCGGTTCCAGGGGCTTTCTGCGGCACAGGCCCCTCAGGAAAGACCGTATCGATTGCATTATTGGCTGTTAGAGATGAGTGAAAGTAAAATTTCAAATGTTTACTTTGAATTTTGCTTGTTTGTGAGGTTACAAATATATGAAAAGTTATTTAAAAAAAGGTTAATGCTATAGCCACATTTTTAAAGGAATTGTTTACCCAAAAATGAAAATTTGCTGAAAATGTACTTAATCTCAGGCCATCCTAGATGTCGATTAGTTGTTTGTTTGGATTTGTTTCTTACAAACACACTTTTCTCTTCTCAAGTTAATTGATGGACTGGAGTCGTGTGGATTACTTGTAGATTATTGTGATGTTTTTATCACTCTCATTCTGACGGCACCCATTCACTGCAGAGGATCCATTGGCGAGCAAGTGATGTAATGCTACATTTCTTCAAATCTGTTCAGATGAAGAAACAAACTCATCTTGTATGGCGTAAGGGTGAGTAAATCTTCAGCAAATTTGAGTTTTTGGGTCAACTATTTCTTTTAACTAATGACATTTTTCTGCATTTATTATTAAGCTAAATTACTTTTGTTTGATCATTTTATCATCATATCAAATGTAATTTTTAATATCATTTCCATGCTATTGTGTCATTTGACAACTAATCTGGATTATGCTCAAGTAATCGCCCTGAAAAATAATAGTTTTTAATCCTTTGCGTGTTGGTCATTTATTTGTCAATTCATTTTTCCTCCCATTTACCTTATCACAATGTCTTCATGTTTTCACAAGTGTACTGAGATGTTTTTCTTTGTTTCTTTCCTTTGAAAAAAAAAAACAGATCTCTAATTTAAGAATGAACAGATCACTGATATCCATCACTAACCATCTTTGTGAGCCACAAATAATTTTTTTAAATCAAATTAATTAAAGAATAAAAACATGGTGTAATGGATCCATTACTTAATAATTTCATTCAAGTAATTTTTTTCTTAAATCTTATTTTACAGGGCTTCATGAACATTACATTAATCTTCTCATTGGTGTATTGGTTCATACAACAGAAATGATGCAGTCAGGTGTCCTCCACTTTCTACTGCATCACTTATCCTCTTCTGAACTCTAGACAGAAGCCTGTTCTGTGGCTCCATGAGAATAATGAAGAAGGATAGACAAAGCTGCCTTCATGACTTGGCAGTGGTCGGCTGGCACACGTTCTCTTTGTGTGGTGGCTTTCTAAAATCTGCCAACAGGAGATTTACTATCCATGCTAATCCTGCCAGGAATCTACTGCTGCATACTGCATTCTATAGCACTGATCATGTGCCATGCCAACATGAACACACAGAACGTAGTGTTGCAAGTTGTACTATTCTACTCTAATAATTTTACTTTTTTATTGCAAATATTTTATGTAAGAAAGTGTTACTTGTTAAATTACATGCAGAAGGATTTGTAATATTTTCCTTATTAATTAATTAATTTATTTTTGCATTTACTTACACCTGTTGTTGCACTGAAAATATGCACCGCACTGAATGCACTGATGGCAACAAAAAAAGAAAAAGAAAAAAAAAAGCCAAACTTAAAATGTAATAACTGTAATGATAAAATGTTACGACTATAATGACTAAATAGCTTGCAAAGACATTTCTTAATGCATCTAATTAGTAAGTGAATGTTTGTTTCTTTACCTTAATTGTGTCCAGAGAGGTTTGCGGTCTATATCTTTGTAATAACTGTCTAAATATATCCGTCCCTTTCACACCAATGAGGCCAAATGATTTTTCAACAATATATACAAGAGTGGACTGTTTGACCCACCCACTCAATGACATTAGCAACAAAGTAGCCTTTCTTTCCGCATTTCTCACTGGCCCCATAATGTGCTCATAATTGCAGCCAAGGCACAGCGTGAGGATAAAATTCCATGTGAGAACCAAACAAAGATCTGTAATATTGCTGTGAGGTTATAATAGCTATCTATCTCAGCAAATACTTGCACGATAAAACAGAGCATTGTTTTATACAAGAAAGAAATAGGACATTATTATTTATTAAACAATTTCAGCTTTGGTCAACAAGCATTTTGAGAAATTCACTTTCGATACACTAGATGGCAGCCCGGCTTTGTAATACCTTGCTACTGACTATAAAGAGGGGCTTACATTCATGATTTATAGTGCAGAACGTTATCACATTTAATCATGTTTTTTTGTGACTCCAGCAATTAAATCATGTTTTACCAATAACTGTAAAAATGTGTCGGACAATACCTAAATCATTCTACGAGTCTTATGAAATGAGACCGTATTTAGGGAGAAAGGTTTACTGTGAATGAGTAGTGGCTGTATCGGCCCCCTCTTCCTCCATTCTGCTCTACTATGCTGTTCTGACTTGGATTCTCCACCCTCTTACCGGAATGACCGAAAGGCTCAGACAGAAATAGCCCTGTCACAATCTCACGCCAAGGCAGACATTGGATACTAAGAGCATATAGGCAAACACTCTCTGCTTTTCTCTTGAAGTTTACTCATAAGACACTATGTTTGACTTAGTTTGTACTTGGCTGCAATTCAGACTGCATCTGAGTAATTCATTAACAGTTCATATAAACAGTTTAAAAGATATGTCTCTGCCTAAGTATGGGTCAGGCTGCATTTCCAAACAACTACTTGCTGAAAATAAATACATAAATAAATACTGACCCCAAACTTTTTAAATGTAATGTATATTGTTAGGGTTAAGGTTAGGTTTAGGTTTATTCTTTTTTAAATAAATGCTGTTATTTCTTATTTTTTATTCATCAAAGAATCCTGAAAAAACATATCACAAGTTCCAAAAAGATTAAGCAGCACAACTGTTTCCCTCATTGATAATAAATCAGCATATTATTTCTGAAAGATCATGTGACACTGAAGACTGGGGTAATGGCTGCTGAAAATTCAGCTTTTCATCACAGGAATAAATTATATTTTGAAGTAGGCTATATTAAAATCGAAAACCTTTTTTTTTTTTTTTTTCAAATTTTAAATTTTTTTTTTTTTTTTTCAAATTTTAAATTTTTTTTTTTTTTTTTCAAATTTTAAATTTTTTTTTTTTTTTTTCAAATTTTAAATTTTTTTTTTTTTTTTTCAAATTTTAAATTTTTTTTTTTTTTTTTCAAATTTTAAATTTTTTTTTTTTTTTTTCAAATTTTAAATTTTTTTTTTTTTTTTTCAAATTTTAAATTTTTTTTTTTTTTTTTCAAATTTTAAATTTTTTTTTTTTTTTTTCAAATTTTAAATTTTTTTTTTTTTTTTTCAAATTTTAAATTTTTTTTTTTTTTTTTCAAATTTTAAATTTTTTTTTTTTTTTTTCAAATTTTAAATTTTTTTTTTTTTTTTTCAAATTTTAAATTTTTTTTTTTTTTTTTCAAATTTTAAATTTTTTTTTTTTTTTTTCAAATTTTAAATTTTTTTTTTTTTTTTTCAAATTTTAAATTTTTTTTTTTTTTTTTCAAATTTTAAATTTTTTTTTTTTTTTTTACAATATTACAGTTTTTTCTATATTTTTGATCAAATAAATGCAGCCTTGATGAGCATAAGAATCTTCTTCAAAAAACATTAAAAATCTTACTGATCCCAAACTTTGTTTACTTTTAGCTGGCTCCTATTTGTCCCAAAAGTAACAATGGTTTTCAGATATTGATCGACACTTTTGGTGCAGCTCTTGATGTCCCAGCAAAGTACTTCTATGTTTATGTTTTTATAAAGAAGCTAAAATATTTGACTATATAAAGAAAACTATGTGAATTGCATACCACAGAGGATCATGTGGCGTCAACGTGACCGCTGCCATGTAGGGCAACCCGTTCCATGTAGAATAACGATAACGTTTTTAATTCCTATTTCAATTTTCACTGTCAAACTTATTTGGATTCTTTTTATTTATTAAATGTATTAAAATTTAGTAGATCTTTAATCTCACAAATACTGTGCATTTGTTTCTCAAGTAATCATCTTGACTCAAGAGTTTACAGGAATCCCCAAATCTGCTGCATATGCAGATCAGGAGGTGCGCTGCAGATAATACTGTCTGAAAAACCAACGACTCAAGTCATAGTAATCCCATGCCTCACGTCATTTGTGAAAACTGGCAATCACGAGCCGTCAGCCGTGGACGTTACATCATAGCTGCTGGTTATCCTGAGCAGTTTGCGCCGCATTCTTTACGTCAGAGGAGAACAGCTGATACTTGCACGGACGTTTCTCAGCAAGAGACAACGGACCACCGTCAGTCGGAGCTCGAGACTCCCTGTGATTAAGGTAAAACGCTGCTTTTGTTGTTATTATTATTTGTAACTATTCTTAACGAGTGCATTGGAAAATAGTGGCATTTTAGGATACATATTGTAGCATATAAATCCGCGTTTCATGGACAAATGGTAGCCTACCACTTTAATAACTTTAGCGTTCACAGATGTGTTCACATTCTTTTCTACCGCAAAACTTTATATAGGATACACACTAAATTCTACAGATTAAACACATGTATGATGATTGAAAATGTGAAAAGTTAAGATTATTATTGTAGTAAAGGTCTTTTTTATGTCATATCAGTTCAGCTGAGAATAGTTTTCATTCATTTTTTTGATTAATTTCATTATAATTTATGGTTTTGCTGGTTGGGTGGAGCTGTGTGAATGTCTTTCTCGGATCTTGAAAGAATTCCTAACTCAGACCAGACAGAGAGGCATGCCTATTTTTGGACTGACTCCACTGACACACATTTACTATTTTAAACAATACCGAAAAGTGCCTGTGATTTTAATTTTTTATTTTATTTTGTCCAAGTGCAAAATCAATAGGCTAATGTTTACACAACATACAAGAAGAAGTGAGAAATTTTAATGAATTGTCATTGTGCAGCTTGCTGCTGCATCTTCCGCAAGTTTTGTGCACAACTTTGGCATTATAACAGAGAATAAAATTTCCATTGGTGAACTGCAGACTGGACGTTCTTCCATCACTGAGTGTTCCCTGTTATTTATTTGCCTGATTATAAAGTAGTGAAAGAGAGCATAGTATAAGTTCACCGGGTGGAGCCAAGAGTATCCTGTGGAAAATGTGGCTTTGCCTTCAGCATTTAAACCTATAGGGAGTAGCAATGGTTTGAATTAGGGGGAAATAATTTTTTAGAGCATATGGTTTTGGATACTCATAGGAGTGAACTTATGGAAACATTCCATAGACAATTTGCTTCAGAAGCAATGTGTTTTGAACTACACCACGAATAGAGGTTTCTGGATAATATATCTAACATGGTTTCCATTGTAGCTTATAGTAGGCATAACTCAGAAACTCAAGATTCTTAAAGTAATGAACTGCCATTTTTAAAAGCACATTACATTTGGTCTTTAATCATACACAAGCTAAGGAAAGGCTAACATGTTTTGTTTTGTTTCTTCTTAATTCTCTCTCCAGGTTCAAGACTATCATTCCATTGACAACCAGTAACTGATTAAACATGGGCAAAGTAAGCCAAAACGTCTACATCAATGTGTCTGCTTGCTTTATGTTGATGTAACGTATGAATTTTGATCATGTAGTTAGAAAAATGGCCACAAAGACATGACCTTTGTCTTCTTTCTCATGGTAACGAATCTCGTTTTCCATCTATTGTAGTTCAGGGAGTATAGGATATCATAGTTTTCTTTATGGAATCTCAGAGGTCAATGAATTGCTCATTAAAAAATTAGATCTGTTGAGAACACCACAATGCCGCATGTAGACCTGTGGTGGCTCAGTGGTGTTATTTTTTAGTTATTTTATTTTTGATATCTTGTTTATATATAATTTTTTGAATAGTAGCAAAACCCCGCGACCCCCTAAAGCGGTATGGAAAATGGATGGATAGTAGCAAAACTATTATTAAAGCACACTAATAATTTATTAAACATTATATATTAGTGATGCTTGTAAAATGAAGCATCACTATTGGTATTGCTCTTATTAGGATTAGGGATATCAATAAACCTCTAGCCCTAAGTATTAAACCTTGTTTGTGCTATGCACATGAATAATACATCAAAGCATTTCTTATATTGTAGAAGTGTGCCTGGCCGGATGTTTGTTTGCTGAGATAGGTGTTGCTAGGGGTCTGTTGCTGTAGACGTGGAACCCTACAGCTGCTGTGTTGAGTGATAGCTGCTGGACAGGCCTTGAGCATGTGCACAGAAGCATGGGGGCGAGGACTCTGGCTCTGTGCCCTACTAAGACACGCCAGCAAGACCAATATAATGGGGAATAATTGTCGGGAGACAGTGAGTGCAGAGGAGCTTTGAAAATGCACAGTCATGTAGCATTTATGCCCTGTCAGATGTGAGGTCTGCAGCTCTCTGAAGGAGAACGATCCCTCTATAGATTCAGTAGGGTTGAAAGTGTAAGGTTACAGACATTTAAGATGCATACAGGCTTTCTGTCTCTCTCTGTCACACACAAACTGACTTTTGCTGCTGACCATATCATACAACTGCTGCACGGACAGGTGTCAGCTGTCCACTCTATAGTCCCGCCTGGGTTTGGACTAAAGGCCAGAGGAGGGAGAGTCTGATTGTTGGTGTAAAATTACATTTTGGGATTATATAAACACGTATAGCCTGTCCCACCCATGAGCAACTTAAAATACATGTTTGAGTTCAGTATAATGCGTGAGACATAATCACGTATAATGCGTTGTTGTTTTTTTTTTTAGAAAATATATTTGATATATTTATTATAG